TTACTTATTTGATGGTTTTTCCTCAATGAATTTATGTCAGATATAATTATTTAAGCACATTTTAATGGGATGACATTTTATATAAAAATAGATTTCTCCTAAACCTTGGTTACATATAGTTTAAAAAACTCAGACTTTTTATGCACTCTGGGGGATTTATACAGCATTGAAGCAATCAACATGACAAACCATTTCATGTTGCATACCTCATATTACACTGTAAAGCCTACAACTATCTTATTTCAGGTTGGGTTAACCATTTAATGATCCAGAGAAGCTTTAAATGGCTGTTGTCTTGTTTTTACCTGGGTAAGTAGTGAGTTGTGCATGATAATAATGCTATAGCTAACGCTAACAACGAGTATGTTTATATGCTAGGATCTACTTGTAAATAACTTGAAGAGAAAATTTCAGGTTACATTTTTTTTTCAAATTCATATAAAATGCCATCCCAAAAATACCATTTGAAATGCCCATTGTGGATATTTTGTTTTAAAATACATAACAGCAACGTTTCTAAAAAGGCTCTTTTTTCTAAATCTGAACCTCTGACGTAACCAAAGGGAGTTAGAAGCTAGGCACTGCCTCAGCTCAGTGTGAAGAGTGGGTAGTTTTAGGGTAGAGAGGTCATGTTATCCAGTCAGTGTGTGTGTTTGCCAGTGATGGGAATAACGCAGTTTGAAATCACGGCGTTACTAACGGCGTTCTTTTTGAGGTAACTTAATAATCTAATTGGTTACTTTTCCCACCGTTGCAACGCCGCTACCGTTACTGGGGACGGAAGGTTGTGCGTTACTATGTGCTTGTCGAACGTTGAGCAACAGTGTGAGACTTTCTGACCGCCACACTTCAGCTGCAGCCAGGGAGAGAGAGGTGTCGGTAACGCACTTACAAACACGATGATGATTGGCCGGGTGGGCAGAGACCCTCAGTGTTCTCACGGTCTCAGTCGCTGCATGCTGTAGACCCAACAGAGCAGTGATGGGAATAACGCTGTTTAAAATAACCGCGTTAATAAAAAAAAATTTGTTTTTCAGTAACGAGCAAACGAATTAATTACCGTCTTTAATCAAAACGTCGTTTCTGTTACTGATAAGGAAATGCGTGCGTTAAGCAGCGCGGTGTGTTGAAGCTGTCATCAGCTGATCAGGAACTAAAGAGGCAGATGTTTTCATCCAAGCGCATCACGGCCATGAAGAACGAGGAAGACGTGATAAATATCTATGGCTGCAGGTGTGGATCTGCACGTGACCTTCTTAGCGTGACAGTGGGACGTCCCAGTGGTCCGCTCACCTGTTCACCGCTCAGACATCCTGATCTTCTACCTTCCTAGATCATCCAGCTGTAACCTGTTTCTGATCATGTCTTTAGTCCCGCTGTAACACTGATGCATCAGTCTCAGACGTCATGGAGCTCAGGTGTTATTAGAACTAGTGTGTGTTTACCACCCAGCTTCAGATCTTCTGTGGTTGGGTCTGACCCAAGTTAGTAAATGTGAGTCCTCCATCAGGCTTGTGCCTCTTCTAGTGTCATTTTAAAGGATTTTATTTATTTATTTAACCATTACTAGATTACCAGCAACAGAAATGCTAATAACAATTATGTGAAGCTGGAAAAATTAAAACACTGTGCAAAATTACATTCATTTCTGTAATTTAACTAGACTGAGAGACCATTTAAAGGCTCGGGAACCTTTACAGGTGTTTCTATTTGCAATTTTAAATTTTAGCTGATTGGGGTCTTGTTAAATATCACACAGTGACCTTTTAATAGTCTAGATAAGTGTAATGCTCGTGTTAGTAGTTCCTCCTGTTAAGTGCTTATTTATTTAAATTATTCAGGTTTATAGAAAACATTTGGACATATATTTTATTATGTTCCAGTCATTTATATTTTACTATTGTAGTAATTCTTGCATGCTTTAATGAAAAAAGTAACTAAGTAGTTATTTTTCTTGGTAATTAGTTACTTTTATAATCTCATAACTCGGTAAGTAACTGAGTTACTTTTTTGACAAAGTAATCAGTAACTATCAGTAACATTCCCAACACTGGTGTTTACTAGTGTTGGATTGTGTTCATGTTGATAAACTAGAGTGTGTGAAGGCTGCACCAACTCCAGCCTGTCTGGACATCGAGTCCCCGGGTTTCCAGACAAGAGAAACAACGCCTCTATCCCCGTGCCCGAGGACGTATTGTGCAGCTGACAAGACGGAACTTCTGTAGCCCGCATCGGTCGGTACCGGGACAGGGAGGTCCGTGCTGGGCTCTGGAGACCCGTGGCGGGGTTAAAAAAATTGTGGATTTCTGGAGCTCAGATCACCGTCAGAACTAGGTCAGAACCAACCACCAGAAGAGACTACTCAGCGGGCCAAAGGAGCTGGTTTCCGGGTCAGAACCAGATCAGAACTGTCGCCTGGACCACCAGGAGAGGATGCACAGCCTTTAAATATACAAACTCAACTGGCTTGCTGGTACCTGGGTCGGATCCAGCTCACAGAAGCCCGCATGAGCGCCAGAACAGGATCACAGGCGTCTCTCTCCCTCCCTCTAAGTACTAAACTACAAACGGATATGAACGAGTATCAGACAAGCACCCTCTCTGCCAGTTTTTAAGAGCAGGTTGAAGACCCATTGTTACACCTTGACGCTCCACTAGCCTTCTTTTAGTCATTCTTATCTTGTCTTTTAACTAATGTCTTTATTGCTTTAATCCATTTTGTTTCATCTTAGTCACTGCATGGTTGCTGTTGTACTTTTCATATCTTTGTTGTGTGTGCAGCACCTTGGTTCAATCTCTCATTGATGGAAAGCGCTTTATAAATAAAGATGATGATGATGATGATGATGATGATGATGATGATGATGATGATGATGAGACAGCTAACAGACTCTAATTAGTTTATTATTATTATCAAGTATTAATATTAAATTAACTGACCAATACTATTTTAATTGTCTGGTACATTATAGTAATCTGTACAACATGATGATGTTAGCATATGAGTTTAAGCTAACATCGCTAATTTACCTGCTGCCCTGGTTCATGGGAGTCTCTAACCTGCAATTTGCTGTTTAAAAATTTAAATCCAAATTATGGTACATTTGTTTGATTTTAATAAGGTTTTAACACCATATTACAACACTAAGCTAACTGCTAGCTATTTGTGTTATATTTAGGTCACACAGAACTGTATCAAACTGTGTACCTGCCACTGTAATGGCTGTGTTTCTAAGCAACCGTTAAATAAAATGCCATAAAATAGTTTAGTAAACTCATTACTGATCCAGCACTTGTGCCTTCTTCTTTCAATAAAATTTTGTGGATTAACCTTTGTGGTACACCTCACTCGGGACGCGAAAAAACAAAAACGTTTGTCTTTTTCCCCATTAGAGTGTTTTTAACAACCATACACAGAATTTGGACATTTTGATGCTCAGGGAACGGAGTAAATAAGGTGCTGTGCAGCGGTGGCTATTTCCTGTCCCCCAGCTGCATTTGGTGACATGGACGCTATGCCATGTGAAACCCAGCAGTAGAATGATGGGCATCTGAATTTTGATGTACAGTGACCTGCAGCTTAGAGAGGATTGATGTTTTTTGCAACCACCAACTGACTGACCCAGAGTTCTGGAGGTCGCAGGTGACAACCAGCGGGTGACTCATCGATAGCGTGTCAGCAACAAGACAAATGAAACTGTGCATTAACATTTTCACCTGCTGAGCAAAAGGTTTTGGTTCCAGACTGGAGGTGTGATCGCACCAAATGTCTGCAGGCAAACCTGAGGATTTGCATGTGCTCTTGAGGCCAGGACATGAAAATGACGTTATTCCTGCTGAGTGATGAACTCATTCCCGTTTATATGACTGAAGAAACTTTGATCCTTCTTATCCCGAGACTCATCGCATGTTTCCCCAAATCTCAGGATTAGATGGCTTCAGGTCAGTCTCTCAGCCTGTAACACGGCTTCTACCAGATAAGAAAATGTAAACAGATAATGCAGGACAGCTATGAGCTATGATTAGTTTAGTTTTTTTTATAGAAAACATGTGGCTGAGCAGAGAAGCGGTGCATGGATGGATGGTGTAAACACCTCTGTTAGTTGATGACAGTAAAGAGTTGTCCTCCAGGTTTTAAACCCTGTGAATTCACAGCAAACACACAGCATCGGCTTTTAGTGCTTCTGAGTAGCTTGTTGATGTGTGATGAACATTCCTGACTTGGATGTCTGTTTCTCACCGATACACCCAAATTCCCAACATCTGTAGTAATGAGAAATGAGCTGTTGTCCTGCAGAGGGAGATGATGCGTGTAAACATAAAAGTGGAGCTCAGCATGATTTCAGCAAGCTGCAACAAGAAGACAGAGCTTTTTTTTTTTCTTATTCAACAAACTCCAGCCTCTATTACAAGACTGTGCTAATCCATCCATGCAAATCCATATCCGGAATGCGCCTTTTGTGTATAATCCTGACACAGTTTCTGTTGGATTAGGGTTTAGGACTGCTGGAATACAGCACATCTAAACTATCAGTGTTCAGTTTGTGATTCATCCCAGCCTGTGTTTATATGCTTCAAAGAGCTGGCCTCTTGAAAGGAGGGAGGAGGTTTTTCCACAGAAATTTTACCCAAAATCTCATTCTTTGATATGATATGCAGAAATAATCCACAATGCTGTGCAGAACGAGACGACCAAACAACCATAACATTGTATTTTGCATCGGTCTACGGTTCTGCTCTGTGCTGCAAAGATAGGCTGCTTTTTATATGCAAAGTCATAATAAGTTTTAGTACACCTCAGAAACAAGCTATTATCTTCCCAGACCATCTGCTCTACCAGTCCGTGACAAAGCATACCTCGGTGTCGGCTGGAGCAGAAGTGACGTGTCCTAAGAAGGAAAGTAAAATATGCTGTACTTCATTTCAGATGGACAATCTAAATGAGACCATCATTTAAAGGAGACATAACATGAAAAACCCACTTTTTTTATCCGTTAACACGGTGTGTTTCACATTTTAAGTGTCTAAGTGAGCAAAAAGGCTTATATTATTCACTGGAGTTGCTATTTAGATATTTAATAATTAAGTTTTGGGCATATTTGTCCACCCGTTCAGTTTTTCAAATTATCTATTACATCAGTAATTTATTTCGTCAGGATAACTACCAAATATGGTAATGGCCCTCGGCTAAACACAGAGCCAATCCGCCATTTTTTTCATCTCGCTAAGATTTTTTGTAGTCCTATTGGAAAAATGCAGAATGTCTGGTTATTTTAGCCACACACAGCTCAAAACTGTTCCTCGTTTTAAGGAAGGGTGGTGTGGCAGTATTTAAACCCAGGAGCTGATGACACTACTGCTAAAAAAAAACAGAAGAAAAAGTAGTGTGTGTGTGTGTTTGTGTGTGTGTGTGTGCGTGCGCGCGCGCGCGTGGTTCGTTCGTGTCTCCTGGCTAGTAAGTACCGAGGGCTTCATCTATCTAAAAGGAGTCATTTCCATCTGAATGTGACAGCACCGGGACACAGCAGCAGAGCGGTAAGCTTCATATAACTCTAAAATGTCGACAAACTTTACTTTAGGTTTACGGGCATTAGCAGCACTAAAGCGTTAGCATCCGGCTTGCTATCGCTAGCACAGTATGCTAGTAAAGTTAGCACCCAGATTAATGTGGATTTGGCTGATTTTTGTGGAATAAAACGTGATTTCTGATCAACGCCTTCTTTTACACCAGATGTACATCCACTGATTGTAGCAGCAGAGAGCCTGTGTGTTATTTTACGTGAGTGTGATGTAATCTTAGCATCCAGTAAATAAAGTCCCAGTAAATAAAGTCCCATATCAGCTAAAATGCAGCGTGACAAAGTCATTAAAGTGCGTCAACACAGTGGATTTAATAGAGTTTTAAAGAACAATCTCTGAGTGAAGTGAGGTTAATTTTTTGTCTCACTGCAGATATAAAAACGAACTCTGCATCAGTCAGACGCAGCAAAGCTCACCGTCTGTATGAGCGTGAGCATCGGAAAGCTGATCAAATCAGCTGTAAAATAATTAAAACAAAGTAAAAATGTTCCTTTGCTTTTTACAGTCCACATCCAGAAGGCTGGAGCCGTGTTTCACTGACAGGCTGTCAGACTAAAGCCCTGATGAGCTCAGCTGGGACAAACTGGTCTGATGTTTAGGTAAGTGAAGATCTGCTTCTCCAAGTCCTTGAGATGCTAGTAAAAAATAATTTAGCCAGCTTGCTAATGTTACTTTTCTTCTCCTCTAAGGAACACAGAACGCTCAGATGTTGGAGCTTCATGTCACCTACTGAGGAAGGAGACCCACCAGTAAAGAGATGGTCTGGACCAGACCAAAGTGAGTGATGACACACCTCAGCCACCCTCATCATTAAGAACACCTCACCCCCTGAATCACTCCGTCTGATGACAGCAGAGTGATTTATTTGATGTTTTACTTATTTAGTCTGTTTAGAAATTATTGAATTACATTATTTTCTGTAATCGACCATCTGATCTGGATGTGTGCAGAATAACTTTCCCCAAATTCAGCAGCAGCTGGCCTGTAAAAACAGCTGCAGCATGTAGTAAGTCTGTCTGCACTGCTCTCTAATGACCTTCCTTTCATAAAGAATCATTTGTATAATTTTAGTGTCACTATTTTATTACATTTGTAAGAATATGAAGTCACTGCAGCAACACAAACGTGACTATAAACATGAAAGCTAAAGAAACAACTTTCCTAAAGCTGCTTGTAAACAAAATATGTCACTAATGTTATTGTCTATCATTGCAGAATATGGCGATGACATCATGGAACTGGTCTTTGGAAAAGTTTTCCCTGAACCAACTCCGTTTCTAGATGAGGTAGAGAAGATCTGCATCTCACCAACTCTCTGGTCTCAGTATTCAGACAACGGAGGTCTCCCACTGTTATCCAGGACCAGTTTGAAGCCCACATACTGCCCCTCCCTCATCATCAGGAAACATCAGTTCCTATCCTGAGGACAACAGAAGACGGCAGGAGGACAGGAACTCTGAGACCTAGACACAACCAGCACCGAGACACAAAGCACCTGTGTGCACAACGCCTGTTTAACTACTAAAACCTGTTTATTATATTGTTCTACTTATTTGCTGTGAGGTTAATACTTAGAAAATTTGTATATTAATGTAAACAATTTAAAAAAATCACTGATTGTATGTTTTCTTTTAGATGTAATGGTCCAAACTCAGCCTTGTAGACATTTATTGCATCCTGTAGGTAAATACACAGAACAGGCTCAGATCCAGGATGACCCAGCATGCTCTTCTTCCATTCTGGCTGTTAGGGATTGTATCAATAACTCAATGCCTACTGATGTTTCCACCTAACGGTATTTATTTAGAATGCAGGTAAGATTTAACTATATTTGTTAGCAAAGCAGACTGATCTTGGGAATTTCACTGCAGCACTGATGTCCACCTCTGTGTACACATTAGAGAGAATTACCACGTTACAGCTAAATGCATATTTAATAAAGATATAGGCTACACATTGCAGACAATAAAAACAAAGTTCTAAGCATTAGAATTATAATGATCACATTAAAGAACATTTGGAGGAATGTTCTTTATTTTTGACTAGAATCTCAAATCTTTAAATTAAAATGTAACTGCTTTTTATCCATTTTCAGCCATTAAGACACCCAATATTAAATAAGACTACTTATAAAATTATTTATAATTATATGTATGTATATATATAGATAGAGATCTTAATAAAATATATTTTAATGGTGTTTTAATGAGCTGTATCATTTTTTAAAACATTTTATAGAAATAAATAAGCAAGCAGCATTCCTTGTGTGTGTGCGCGTGCGCGTGCCTGCTCGCTTGTCCCGTCGGCCGTGACGGATGTGTGTGTGTGTGCGCGCACGTGCCTGCTCACTTGTCCTCCGTCGGCCGTGACGGGTGTGTGTGAGTGACTACAGACAAATGCATGAGAGAGTTAGCAGCCTTGAAACAGCTTGATGAACTACTCTCCCCACATGTTTTAAAAATGCTAATATGCTATGCTAAATCTGCTATGCTAAATAATGATTTCTCTATAGAACTACAAAGTCCGGCTGGGGGAGGAGAGTACAGGTCTGCACTATGGAGGGGGGTGGAGTTTATAGCTCCTCCTCCAGTTTAAAGAGACAGTACCCAAAAACGGCTCGTTCTCAAGACTCTCCTCAGAACAGGGGTAGATGAGGGTCTGTAGAGCAACAATAATGAGGAAATCAGACCAAAGAACTGCAGTTCCACTGTATTTAGACCCCCAACTGAAGGATTTAGATGTAAAAAGGAATAACTTAAAAGCATGTTATGTCTCCTTTAAGTTGTTTTGTTACAGAAGTATTCAACCAATATCAATCAGTTAGCTCAAAGTGCTCCGTTAATATCAGGTCAGCTTAACTTTACTTAAAGAAGTCATGCACTCATGATTTCAATATTAATTAATTGGTCTCTAGTATGAATGAATGGCTTGTGTGTCATTTTCTGGTGGGAAAAAAGCTCTGGCGCTGCTGTTTCAGGAAGTTAGCTAGAGGAAGGAGAGGTGTGGCAGCAAACAACAGGATGCTCAGTTTTACTCATTAATGTATTTAATATGCAAGTGTATGGCCTCTGATTGGCTAAAAGCAATGCAACTCTTCTGCTGCCTCCATTCTCTCTTCTTTCTTGGCCTGTAAATGGCCTGTATTTATTTATTTATATATTAGTCATCTTTCTTGGGTAAGAAAATGCAACATTGATGTGTTATCACTTATAGTGACTGATCATAAAAAACAAGAGAGAGAGAGAGAGAGAGAGAGAGAGAGAGAGAGAGAGAGAGAGAGAGAGAGAGAGAGAGAGAGAGAGAGAACAAAATGTAATAAAACCGATAATAATCATAAACACAATCCAACTTCCTCTTGTAAATAAAAACAACGTCTTTGCATTTGACCGAAATGGTTTAGGCCGAAGGTAAACGTATTGAAGCCGACCCATTAAATCATCACAAACAGTTTACACTGTCATGCAAAGCAACATATTATGACAAAACAGCCATTGCATACATCTTAGAATAAATAAAAACAAAAACTTGGAAGTATAAATGTATGTCAAACTTTCTTTTTGCTATACACAGTGTTTTCCAAAAGAGTTTTTTTAAGTGCTTTTTGAATATTTTCAACAAGTAAGAATTTTTTTTAACTGTCATCAAGGCTTTTCCATAAAATTACCCCTCTTACTGAAACACATCTTCTTTTTTTAATTGGTTCTTGCTTTCTTTATTCTGAAATCAGTTCCTCTTAAACCATATTCACCATCTTTGTGTCGGGACATCCCTGGGATTAAAGGTGGACGGTTAGCATGATATGCCTGATATATTACAGCCAGAGCATGCAGATCACCAATATCATGGAATTTAAACCTTTTTAAATGAACAAAGATGGGATTTGTCAGTGTCTAATAGTTAGCATGAGCTATGATCTGAACTGCCTTTTTTTAAGTTTATAGGATAAATATTTGCTCTGTAATGATTTCTCCATATTTCAACACCATAGCTCAGATATGAGAGAATAAATTACATGAAGGGATTTTATATCTAAAACAAATCTTATTCTACTCATAAGGTCTATAGTTTTTATATTTTAAAATTTGTATAATTTATATGTGGCTTCCAGCTCAGTTTCTCATAAATAATGATTCCTAAGAATGTGTATGTGTGTACTTGTTCGATTTCTATACCATTTAATTTTAAGATAATCTGGTTATTAATTTTTCCATTTCCAAATACATTATACCTGTTTTGGAAACATTCATAGAAATTTTACTGCAATCAATTTTATTGCGATCAAACCATCATTTTAACACTGCCAACTCTTTCTCAATTACCCTAACAAGCTTATTTAGGTCGTCACATAAAATGTGTGTGTGTGTGTGTGTGTGTGTGTGTGTGTGTGTGTGTGTGTGTGTGTGTGTGTGTGTGTGTGTGTGTGTGTGTGTGTGTGTGCGTGTGTGTGTGTGTGTGTGTGTGTGTGAGTGTGTGTGTGTCTGTGTGTGTGTGTGTGTGTGTGTGTTTAATAGATGGGGAGAACGTTAGGCCAGAATAGGCCACTCAGCTCTAAGTCAAACATTAAAATTTGACTTGTGGCCACAGAAGACTGCACTGATTTAGCATCCAGGAGGGAGCAGAGCATGTCTCCGCTAGTAAAAGCTAACTGTTAGCATTAGCAACTCCACAAAATGGCAGAACACGTTCAGACTTCTGTTATTTTTGGAGATAAAACCTGAACATTGCATTTTATACCCAAGATAGGAGAGCAAGCTTAAGCAGTGGGAGAGTCACATTGCTGTTATCCAATCAGAGACAAGGTCTTTGCATCATGATTTTTAATAAGACTCCAAATCCTGTCATTTTCTGCCCTCCACTCATGTGACTAACTTCGACTTGCTGAAACAGGGGCACCAGAGCTTTCTTCCACAAAAAATGACTCCCAAGGCATTCATCCATACTAGAGAACACAGCAGATTTAAAGAACTAATAATTGTATGACTCCTTCAAATGGCATTCCTCTCAGTTTAAGAGATCCATTTGTGGATTTTTGAATGAAAACTAATTTAAAAGCATGCACAGATGTGCAGAAGTCCTTGTTGCCAATGCCAGCCTCCATGTTTGGAGGAGAATCACATCCAGAATTTGTGTGTAGGCAGCGTGAACCATTACAGTACGGCATCTGTTTAGTAAGCACCACGCTTATTACCTGCTTAGTGTGTGACATAATTGTTAATTTTAAGCCTCCAGCCACAATCTGTGGATTATTTGGGAAAAAATTGGGCTCAGAATAAATGACAACAAATCGGATTTTTAGAAATGTGGAATGACACTAGTGAAAATAAGATTTTCAAGGAGTATCAGCTTAGCTTTACTGGGAATAATAGTCAGCTCACTATTTTGATATGATGTTTTTCTTTAATTCCTGCCAAACTGTGTTTAAGATAATAAGGAAAGACATTTTTTTAAATATGTAAATGATCACTTATGATATTACTGGTTTTAGAGATGGGACTTGGTTTTGAGGGCTGATGAAGCACACATGACGTGTTTTAGTCATCTCCAGAGTACTGGAGCATCTTGAAGGACAGCCATCGTATTTGAATTATAAAGCAGTGAATAATAAAGAGGCAATCTGAGTCAAATGTGGAGTTTAATACGACAGTGTGTATTTTCCCTGGCGAGAGGGGACGAGCATACCTTAAATTATTGCAAGGTATTTTTGTGTTGGAATAAGAACTTACCAACGGAAGGCCATTAGGGTCAAAAATCCCTGGGAGCGCAACCTCCAGCACAACGACAAGCACATCAGACTCCTTTTCATCACTGGCAACGAGCAACGAGGTAAATGTGTAAAACAACGTTTATGTTTTGTATCCGCTTGTTACAAATCAGTAAATGCATTTTGTCCTGAGGGGCTTCCATAGAAGGAAACATTATGGCGTCACCCAGAGACTTGGACCCGCTTCCATGTAATTTAGACCTGATTTTTACGGTTTTATGTTACGAAGCCTCCAATATTTTTCAACAACTTTTTGATGGATACGTCCAGAGATTATGGGTAAAAACTACACATTGTTGCATATTGTTGAACCATCATAATTTATCTGAGGACACGTAGCATTAGCATTATTGAACCTTTCACTCCTACTCTCTTTCTAAAGCAGCATCACTGATAAATAATAGCATGATGTTAATGTTGGTTGGTCTACGTAGACATATTTTTGTCTGTTCTTTGTTCTGTTTTTATGTAATTAGATGCTTCTACAGCCACTGCAGCTTGCTAAGCAAATCTCCCACTTTACTTGAAGCGTCTCACTATTTCTAGAGCATAGCAGTTCGTCTTTAGCTTGAGTGGGAATGCCAATTGCTTTTTAATATAATTTCATTTAAATGTCTTTTATGATTTTTCTAAACAAGATAAATAAGAAGCTCTTTGCTTGTAATGGATTCTTCATTTAGCCTTTCTGCACATCGGGTCATTTCAGCTCTTAAAGGGTCCGTTTATTTACATAGGGACACTTCTGAAGGATGCACACTGATTTATTTCAATTTCACTTACAGTTAAGTTCTGCCTCAGGATTCTGATTCTATCTGAAGCGATAGGTTGGTGGAAAACCGATACCTGGGTGCTTCGTTCCTGCAGGCACACCACAAATCATCTGTATCTTCTCCAGATCTCCCTCCACTTTCAAGATGCAGGGAATGTACAGCTTAAGGTGTTAGTCACAGGAAAGTGCCTTATACTTCTACACAACCTAAGGAACGTCTAGATGTGCATTGTTTCAAAATCAAACTAAACTTGTCAGGTGTTTGTTGATAAAGCTGTATTCTCCTGACAATGTGCCATTTATTTCCAAATCGGAACAAGACGTATTTTTTTTATCTTAGGTTAAATACTGTTTGCATGTTTCAGTATGTGTAAAGTTACTATTTACAACCAAGATGTAATTAACACGTGCTTCTTCCTCCATCAGCTGCTGGGGTAATTAATCTGTCTCTAGCTGTAGCCCATAAACTCTAAATTGATTAAAATGGAATGAAGCCATCTGCACTAATGCATACAATAAAATGATAAACAAAAAATATGTCATCTAGTTATATAGATGATCAAGGTTAATCTAAGTACTAAGTTACTGCATCTGATCTGGGTGAACA